GGGCCTGGCTGAGCCCCTGTCCTGTGGGGAGTCCTGCGGGCATCTGGGTGCCACCCCACTTTGCCACCCAGTGCAGTGACATGGCATCTGGCCCCTCTGAGTTCAGCTCTCCCCCTCATGCACTAGCCCCTGAGACTACTGATTCCAGTCACGATCCCTGTCAGTGGGGGGCCATCTTGCTGGGGGCAGCCCTGGGGTGCCCTGTGTCTGAGGGGTGATGGCTGTTTTGCGCCTCAGGAGAAGCTGAAGCCCGACTACCTGAAAGGACTTCCCGAGATGGTGACCCAGTACTCCCAGTTTCTGGGGGAGAGGCCTTGGTTTGTAGGGTCAAAGTAGAGGGGGGGTGTGGGGGGTGGTAGCTCCTCCAGGGGTCTGACTTGCTGCCACCCCCTCTCCTCTGCAGGTACCTGTGCGGGTTTCCTGGCGTTTGCCATTCTGGACACACTCTGTGACTTGAGCCACGTGTCTGGATGTGTCCCAGGCTGAAGGACGTCATCCCCTGCATGGAGGTGATTCCTCTGGTCTCCCTAATACTTATGCCCATTTTTGTATAGTTCTTATTTATCCGATGATTCTTAACAATGGATCAAAATGAAGAATAGCGAACATGCTGAGGACGTATGTTAGGATCTCTGCTCAATATCTGGAAATATGTTATGTCACACATGTGTTCCTGCCTACCTGACGGAGTGGGTGGGCCGTGGTGCAGGTCAGGCCCAGTGAGCTTGGCCTCAGCCTTTGGCGCTTCTCCCTGAACAGGAATAGCAGCACCTGCCCTGGCTGCTGGCTCCCTGCTCCACATCCTCCCGACAGCGTCCCTGGCTTTGCTGAGTCATGGTGTGAGGTCTGGTCTCTTTTGCCAAATGCAGGGGCCCAATCTGAGCCCCTGGCTCTGCTTGGGGGCACAGTTGTGGGCCACTGTGGGGAGCCAGGCTCCTCCTGTGAGCAGGCAGAGTGTGTGTGTGAGGCAGGGAGCCAGGCCCTGTGAGGAGGGAGAGCAGAGAGGGCCCA